TTTCCTTACCAATCTTGTGGTTTTATGTCTGTTACCAATTCAGCACACTCCAGCCAATCAACTCCAGCTTGGACCATTTTCTCACACTATTGCCAAGACCTCTGGGAGGTCCTTTGAGTGCAGTGACAGGCCCTTCCTCTTAAAGGAGAATGCCAGCTGCTTTCAAAGGAACGGGCCCTACTTTTTGGGTACTCCTTTCTCTATTTGTATGCTCACGGCAACAGAGAACACACAGATCGCTCCTACCCACAGCTCTGCAAATTAAGATTCACAGAGCCGCTAGGTGGGCAGTTTTTCAAGACAGCCTTTAGTTTTTGTGTTCTTTTCCCTTCTTGGCCCAGCACGACTAGTTAAATGCAGGAAATTAAGATCACATTGTCCGAGTGTGCTCTGACTAAATTCCATTAGATTGACAATCTCTATAAGTCCTGATTATTTTGTTTTTAAGTTGTCTTCATATGCATAAAAATGCATTGTAACCACCATCAAAAGATGTTATTAAAAGTTCATTTGAGAGTGATGCTGGGTTATGCAGCCCTCAGGAGAGTAGGAAACGGTCACATCGTCTGCCATGGAAGTGATGCTGAATTCTATACAGGAAGCATTCCAGTTCCCCTGTTTCTGCCTTTTTGGGGGTTGGGGGAGGGGAATAGGAGGCTATTGTTGGGTAGCAGCACCATAAAGAGATGCTCGTTCCTGCCACAGAAAGCCAGCTACTGATAAAACATTCCTCTCATTACAAGGAGACTGTAGAATTTTGCTAAGTATGTTGGAGGGAGCAAACCTTAGCAATATAATTAATAGAGACTGTACTTGAAGTGCTTCTTACAGAATGGGAGGTTTATTTCTCTGTTGGTGTTTTGGCCTTTGTCAAAAGGGATGTCATCAGTCTCTGATCTATAGGAGTTTATGATCTAGGAAGAATAACACAGAAGAATGGGTTGTAATGTATAGAAAAAACAGTAAAAACACGAACACAGAAATTATTACATAACCTTTGCTTTTATTTGCTTTTGATGATGACAGCAAATAAAAGCAAGTGTCATGTATAATTGAGAGGCTTAAAAATTGCTGGATGACTTTCATTTATTCAATAACCATTCACTGGGTGGCTACAAAATGCCAGAAGTGTCCGATGAACTGGAGACATAAAATTATACGAGACATAGTTCTACTCTCAGAGAGCTCCTGGTGTACCAAGGGCTATGGAAGCATAACCATTACGATGCCATCAGATAAGTGAAAATGTGGAAAGGTGTAGGAAGCTCTCTGGGAGCCCAGAGGAGAGAGCGATTACTCTTTCTGGAAGTTGAGGGAAAGCTTCAGAGAGGGGGCAGATCTCCACCTGGGTCAGCAAGGATGAATTATTTATTTATTTTATTTATTTATATATATTTTTGGCCACACCGCCCGGCATGGGGGATCTTAGTTCCCCGACCAGGGATTGAACCTGTGTCCCCTGCAGTGGAAACACTGAGTCTGGAATGCACTGGACTGCCAGGAAGTCCCTAAGGATGAGTTATTTAAATGACAATTCCAAGCAGAGGCTAAAGGAGTGAAAAGGCATAGAATCAGTTAGAATATACGGTTTAATTAGGAAAATAGCGAGTGAGGCAGAGACTGTTGTCATTCCCCTTATTGCTCATTAAATCCCATTCCCATCAGGCATTGGTACCATATGCTTCTGAGGACTTGAGGCCCCGCTCCAGCCCAAGAGTATGGTCTTTAATAGTCTAAACCAATCACAGTCTATCAGTTCCCCTTACCAATGACTGTTTTTGGCATAGGCTGGTGTTATGAGTTGAACTGTCTCCCAAAAAGATATGTTGGAATCCTCACCCTGGTACCTGTAAATGTGATCATATTTTTTTTTTTTGCGGTACGCGGGCCTCTCACTGTTGTGGCCTCTCTCGTTGAGGAGCACAGGCTCCGGATGCGTAGGTTCAGCGGCCACAGCTCACAGGACCAGCCGCTCCGCGACACGTGGGATCCTCCCGGACCGGGGCACGAACCCGCATCACCTGCATCGGCAGGCGGACTCTCAACCACTGCGCCACCAGGGAAGCCCAATGTGATCATATTTGGAAACAAGGCCTTTGCAGATGGAATCGTGGTAAGATGAGGTCATTAGGGTGGGCCCTAATCCAATATGACTCGTCTTTATAAGAAGAGAACACCATCTGATGATGCAGAAACACACAGGGAGAACACCACGCCATGAAGAGGCAGAGACAGGAGAGATGCATCTATAAACCAAGGAACACCAGGGTTTTCTGACTTTCCTCCTAGAGTCTTTCGAGAGGGCTGGTCCTGCTGACATCTTTTTTTTGTGTGGCTGCGTTGGGTCTTCGTGCTGTGCGCGGGCTTTCTCTAGTTGCGGCAAGCGGGAGCTACTCTCCGTTGCTGTGTGCGGGCTTCTCACTGCGGAGGCTTCGCCTGTTGCGGAGCATGGGCTCTAGGCACGCGGGCTTCAGTAGTTGTGGCGTTCAAGCTCAATAGTTGTGGCTCGTGGGCTCTGGAGCGCAGGCTCAGTAGTTGTGGTGCATGGGCTTGGTTGCTCTGCGGTATGTGGAATCTTCCTGGACCAGGGCTCGAACCCGTGTCCCCTGCATTGGCAGGCACATTGTTAACCACTGCAGCACCAGGGAAGCCCCCTGCTGACATCTTGATTTTGACCTTCTACCCTACTGTGAGATAATAAATGTCTGCTGTTTTAGGCTGCCCAGTTTGTGGTACTTTGTTACAGTAGCCCTGGGAAACTCATGGAGCTGGATAATGAAATGAGAGAAAGCAGCTAGGGACTCCTAGGGACACCGTCCTCTCTCTCCTTCTTAGAAAAGAACCAAGATGGGGCATTTCTCCCTCTGTCTTTGCCCATTACAGTTATGGTGGATGGAGCGGCTGTACCCATTTCACAACAGCGAGGGGATCTGTCTGAGCACCAAGGCCAATCTGCAGAGTCTGGTAGAACAGAATGTACAGGCCCACAGTGAAGTCATGGAATGGTTGAATTATCCTGGGATTTCTGGATTTTCTATTATATGAAATAATAAAATTTGCTATTTCCTGTGCCATCTTAAGGGAAAACACCTTAACTCATACATCAAGGGTTAGTGGTGTCTAGAGGAAATAATTGAAGTCAGGAAGTCTTTTGTTTACTACCAGCTACTGGCCATGGTCACCATTTCCAATAAGTCCTATGCAAAAGGGACACTCCCCAAAAAGGCACATCCTTTATTACGAGCCAGTTCCAAATTCCATTAAGGCTTCTTCCCTGGTGAAGGGGATGGGCCCATATATGAGTCTTGAGGTCCTCCAGGCCTTTGTATGTGTTTCCCATCCCAGAAACATTCTCCCACCCCACCCTCTCCACCATCAAGCTATTCTCCACCCACCTTCTGGCTTTCAGCTTAGACACCATTGCTTCGAGAAGATTTCATTGACTCCCCAGACAGGTTTAGTTGCCCTGTTAATGGCTTTCTGGGCACCCTGGACTTGTGCCAACTTGGATTACACTGTATTGCAACTGCCTGTTTACTGTTGCTATCTCTCACTAGACTCTAAAGTCTTGGGGGCAGAGACTGTAAATGTCCCACTTACTGTTTCATACCCAATCTAATACAAGGCCTGTCTCATAGTAGGCACTTGATAAATATGTATTAAGCGAATGAAAGACGTGGCAGTGCTGACAGTCTGCAGTCTAGAGTTTACAACATTCTGATGACGGCCATGGAAAAGTGGGGCTGGGCAGGGCTTTGGCAAGATACAAAGGAGTGAGCCTTTGCCCCCAGCCTCTGGGTCCTATACTGGGATTCCTCCACACTCCTGACCTTTCCTTTTCCTCCCACCTCCTACTTTTCTTTCTAGTTCCCTTTAAAAATTTCTAGATCTGGCTCTTATTTGAACTGAATAGGTTAAAAAAAAAAAAAGGAATGATCATGGGTTACCTAGCATGACCAACTAATCTACTACTTTTCCTAGGGAAAAAGCAGTTTAAAAGTGCTTTTAAGGGACTTAAAAGCTGCTGGTCCAGTGGTAGGACTCCACACTTCCACTGCAGGGGACGTGGGTTCCATCCCTGGTCGGGGGAACTAAGGTCCCACAAGCCGTCTGGCAAGACCCTCCGAAAAACCAAAAAACAAGAAAAAAAACCATGTGCTTTTAATACCAGTTAAACTACATGGAACTATGTCTCCAGAAAGCTCCTAAAAAATAATGTCAGGAATTTATTATAGGGAAGGAGGAGGAAGGAAGTGGGACTTTCAGTACCTTTATAACATAGTCGGTAAGTGGTTGCTTACTTTGATCCCAGGGTTCCAGTAAGAACTTTTGGACATCATCCCATCTTTGATACTTGAAAACATTTTCCACAATGATCTTGGGGTAGTGTTAACCCAATCTAAGGTCATTCATTCCTAAAGGCTGACCATGCGTTTGTTTTATAGGTTTTTCTTTTATAGAGGAAGGCATGCAGTGTTCTGGTAGGTATAAGAATTCTAACAGCAATTTTTTTCTTTATTCATTCAAAAAACATTTGGGTGCCTCCCATGAATGCACCAAATACTGTGCTAAGCATCCGGTGATCAATGGTAAGATATTCAGGAGCCCTATCCTAGCGGAGTTTATATTCCAATGGGAGGACAGACTACAAATAAAAATATAAATTTGCTCCAAATGTTGTGAATGAAAGCAATAGGTTGTTGAGATAAGAGAGTAAGGTGCAGGGAGGGCACCTAGTGGGTGATCACAGACAACTAATCTAAGAAGGTGACATTTAGGCGGAGATTTAAAGGATGAGAAGGAGTCAGCCTTCGGAAACGGGGTCACGTTCACCGTAAGTAGCCCGCAGGCTCTCCAGCAGCAAGGTTGGACGTATGGGCAACGAGGCTCCGCCGCCAGCACTAAAGATGGCGGACAGGGGGCGGGGACGGGGAAACGGGGCGTGCCCGCGCCGTGATTGGTCAGTCAGGAGAGGCGTCACGTGGGCTGAGGAGAGCATCCGGGCTCCCGGCAGAGGCGCTGCAGAGGCTCCCGGGAGCGGGCGGCGCGGCGTTAGCGCGGCGAGCGGATAGCGGCGGGCCCTCCCGGGCAGCCAGCGTGGACGGAGCGGCGCGCGTGCCGAGCATGGCGGGCTCCCTGCCTCCCTGCGTGGTGGACTGCGGCACCGGGTAAGAGCTGCGGGCGCCCACCCCGCTCCAGCGCGGCCCCGCTCTAGCCCCGGCGCCGAGCACCTGCCCGCGGCCCGCCCCCTCTCTCACCTGGAGGCGCTCCGCCCGGGGCCCGGGTCTCGGCCTACAGCTGGGCAGGTTCGGGGGGCCGGCCCGTCTCCGCGCCCCGCTCCTCTCCTCCACGCCCGCGAGGACCACGCGCGGAGCTCGCTCGCCTTGATGCGAAGAGGACCGAGGGGAGGAGTCGGGCCGGCTCGCCTCGCCTCCCGCCTCCTCTCTCCGCGCTCGGCCGGGGCCTCCCGGGATGCCAGGTTTCAGGCAGGCGGCTGCAGACCCCGCTGTCGTCACTTGCCTTCTGCCTGTCTGACAGTGCCCCTATCTTTTCACGTTCTTAAAAGGAACCCTCGTTTTGGGTTCCCAGACGCATGCCATTTCTCCTTGCTCATGATTCTCACTTACTTGTGGAGGTTTTTATATTCATCTCCCAAGTTGACACCTTTTTTTGCAGCCTACTCTGCTCTCTTCCAGGAGTGAATGGTTCTCTCGGGCTAAGCTCTTGCTTTAGTTTGCATAGAGTTGCCTTTTCACTTAAAAAAAAAAAAAAAAAGACTCCATTTTGAAAAACAGAAAGTCTAAATTTGGGAAAGCCTGTTTGTGGTATAGTTTTTATTTCGCATTACTTTTGGGGTGTGATTGCTTCTTTTGATGTTGTTGGGATATGCAAAAGAGACCTTAGGAAATTTCCTGTACTTTCTTTCAGTGGTCCCCGCTTCGCTGGTTTTAGGAAGGTGCTCACCGAATCCGTCTAGCTGGTGGTCTAGAAATTCAAGCTTGCCTGCTTGCAGTGTAGGTGAAGTACCTAATAAAGTAGCCTGGAAGTAAATTTAGCCTCTTAAAGATCTTTCAAGATGGGGTTTTAATCATTTTTTCCACAAAATATTCCATGGTATGTTCGCCTCAGCCTTGATTCTTTTCTGTAGAGAAATGCACGTGGTTTAGTTTCCTTGACAACCTTGTAGGGGTGTCTTCTTTAATTTGCTTCCGTCTCCTACGGATCGTTCTTTCCTTTTGCTGCTGAAGCCACCGGTGGTGGTTACAGGCTGGAAAAAAACTGCCTCTTTGCTTGTACTAATTTTCCTTTTTGAAATACACATTGTACCAGAAGCTCCCGGGCTCTTTATTTTAGAAGTTGTTTTGCTATCCAAAACCCAAGCCCAAACCAGTATTGATATTAACCCCCCGCCCAGTTGCTGGCTTCCTTATTCAACCCCTCCTCCCAGGAACTGGTGTTCACCCCACACCCACCTGAGGTCTGTTTGTGTCAAGAGTGCAGGAAGCAGGTAAAAGAAATTTTCCTTCTCACATTTGCACGTGAGATTTTTTGTTTTTGTGGTTTTGGTCTTGTAAAACTATTGAAATGCAAAGCATTTCTTGGCAGAAGCAGTAACATGTACCCACAGGATTTGTCATACCTCTTCTAATAGTAAGCTGGGGACCTTACTCATCGCTCTTGCTGTAAACATCTAAAATGTGGTGCTCAGTTTTGACCTTTTGAGGTAGGTGGTATCTCACTTGGAGATGTAGCTTCAGAATCTCTTTGTTTTATGGCCCAGTTATGTTATCGTCTTCAGGCCGTCGTAGGCTTTGGTGTCAGGACTTAGAAACAGTGGCCGGGAATCTTCCCAGTGGGTTTCACATGGACATGTTCTGTTGTGGAAACAACAGTGGTTAATTATAAATTTCCAGTGTCCAGTGTGTGGCCAGATGGAGCAGCGTGGAAGAGCCTAAATTTATTTAAGCTTGTTAGTAGCTCTTATATTTCCCATAGAGCTAAGTGGTTTTTGGATTGACTTTTACCTCAGACTACAATAAAAAGGGGTAAAATGCAGATTAAAAATAACTAGGACCAAGGAAAAGAATGGACCTGGAGCATCACCCTAAACTGTAGACCAGTGGTGCAGCCGACCGGCCTCACATTTGGCCTTAGTTTTCCTGTCTGACAAAATTATAAGAGGGTCATCATCAGTTATGTAATTCCTGTCATCGGGAAGGAAGAGAAATACCTGTTTCTCAGGTGAAAAAACTTTTCCTAGTACTAAATTCTAACAGAAAAATTCACACTGAATTATACATAGTGGACCTTAACGATTGAGTAGACAGTGTGCCAAACAGTATTTTTTAATTGCAAATTAATTTCATCCTGGGAGCCTGGCCTCCTCTAATGAGCCCTGAGACCAGCTCAGTGAGCACAGGTGAGCCACGATAATGCGGACCACGGCTCTGCCTGCTCCGGAGATGAAGTTTCATTTACTTAAGTGAATTACTAGGCTGCTTAGTGTTCAGAGAATATCCCACAAAAACTAGTGTTACTTCTCTTAACTGAACTTTTCGTATTTTTGAAGATTTTTATATTTTAAACTTACTTTGAAAAATGTCAGATCTGAAAAGCTGCAGTAAGAGTACCGAAAAGCCGGCTGTATATTCTCTATCCAGTTTACCGACTATTAACATTTGCTTTATTGTTCTCTATATACTATACACGTTATTATTTTTCTGAACTGTTTGTAAGTCGCAGACATCGTGCTGTTTTATACCAAGATACGTCAGTGTATCCTTTATGAAAACAAAGACCTTCTCTCATATAGTCACAGACCAGTGATCAAAATCAGAAAATTTAACATTTATGCAGTAGAGTTGTCTACTAAGTCTGGATCCCATGAATGGTCCCATTATGTTTCTGGACGCGCAGCTCTCTGCCCTCATCCGGCACCGTACACTGTGTTTGCCTGTCATCATGTCTTTTTAGTCTCGTTTCACTGGACCAGTTCCTTAGCCTTTTTCTGTCTTTCAGGACAGCGACATTTTTGACAGTCAGTTGTTATGGATCATGTTCCTCAATTTAGGCTTGTCTGGTGTTTCTTTCTGACAGATACAGGGTGTGTGTTTTTGTCAGGAGTACCACAGAAGTGATGTCAAAGCTTCTCAGTGCATCACATCAGAAGGCTTTTCCCCTCCAGCTTTATTGAGGTGTACTTGACACACAACATTGCATAAGTTTAAGGTTACGTCGTGTTGATTTGGTACATTTATATATTGCAAAATGATTATCACATTATGATACTAACACCTCCATCCCGTCACGTAATTACCTTTTTTTTTTTTTTTGTGGGGAGAATATTTAAGATGCACTTGTTTTGGCAACTTTCAAGTATAAAACAGTATTATGAACTACAATCACTGTATTGCCCATTAGCTCCCCAGAACTTACTCATCCCGTCAGAAGGCTGAAGACAGTTGATGACGTTCATTTGGATTATTTGGATACGGTGGTGTCGACTAGATTTCTTCATTGTACGGTTACTGTTTTCCCCTTTGTAATTAATGTCATTTGTGGAGAGATATTATGAGATTATGCAAATGCCCTGTTCTTCCTTAAACTTTCAGCCATTAGTTTTAGTATCCATTGGTGGTGATTCTTCTTCTAATGGATTATTACAGTGATGGTTGCAATACTGTGGTTTTTTTAAACTTCAGTATTTTGTACATTTATTAGTTAACATTTTACCATAAGGATGCACTTTTCTGTGGCTCCCATTTATTTATTTATCGTCTGTATGGGTTATTATCTTGTTCAAAGAGTTATTTATGTCATTCTTACTGTATTCAATGGATTATTATTTCTTATTGCCATTATTTGTTTTGATGCTTAAATTGTCCAGCAGAAGCCCATTCAGGCTGTTTCTGGAGTTTTTTAGACATGTCCCCGTCATTTTTTGAGCATTTTGTTATTATCAAAAGACTGCAACGTAGCCAGTGCAGTGCATTTGTCTTTTTGCATTTTTTGCTGGAGCATCTCTGAGATAGGTTTCTAGAAGTGGGATTTCTGGGTCAAAGGGTAATTTTGCTAGACAGTGTCAAATCCCACTCAGTAATGTGTGTCTTCACCAGCAATGTGTGAGAGTGCCTACGGCTTCTTACAGACTCACCAGCAGAGTAATTGCCAAAGTAAAAATTTTTTTTACCGATCTAGAAGGTAGGAAATGATATCTTATTGTCGTTTTAATTTGAATTTCTTATATTATTATGTGGGAAGATGAGCATCTTTTCGTATGGTTAAGAGGCATTTGTGTTTCTGTTTTCTGTCTCTTCGTTTCTCTAGCCAGTTTTTCTGTGGGTTTTTAAGTCTTTTGCTTCTTTATTTTTAGAAGCTCTTTCTGGGTTGGGGTGTGGTGAGGGTCCCACAGACCACCCGCAGGTTCATTGATTTGCTAGGAACAAGCACAGGATGATAGTGGAAAGGTAAAAGTAGGAACAGCCAAGGGAAAAGGCACATGGGGCAGAGTCTGGAGGAAACCAGGAGCAAGCATCCGGAATCCTTTCTCAGTGCCCAGAGTTTTTACTGGGGGCTGGTCATGGCACCTCCTGCCTAGCACAGACCAGAATTCCAGAGTCCCAGAAGGAAGGCAGGTGTTCAGCATAAACTGTATTTGTGTTAATTTTATAATCTGCTACTTTACAAAATGCTCTTACTGTTTGTATGAATTTTTCCCTTGATCTTTTAGGGTTTTCCAGATACAGAATTTTGTCATTGGCAAATAGAGATTGCTTTCCCTTTTCCTTTCTGTTTTTAGGAGCTCTGATTGCCTTTTCTTTTCTTTATTTTGACATACTGCAGTGGCCATTGCCTCCAAATAATGTTAAATAGGAGTGGAGTTAGTGGGCATTATCCTTTTGTTCCTTACTTTAGTGGAATAGTTTCTGGTGTTTCCAAAATAAGTAAGATGCTGGCTTTTGGGCTGCTGTGTGTATGTACATACTTACACACGTATACAAATATATGTTAAGAAAGTTATACAAATATGTTAAAGTATTTGTCAACTGCTATATTTTGGAATGTTATAACATGAATAAGTGTTGCATGTTGTATGATTTCTTTATAATAAATGGAACATGTGGTTTTCTTCCTTAGCCAGTTAATATGGTGGATTTCCTAATATTGA